CGCCATACCCACTACAGCATGTCACTTCTTCCTAACATCCAGCTGATGTTTTGTCCTTGATGTTTCACCCATCCTGTTTTTCTACCGCTGTTCCTGAGGCCTGAGCATCAACACGGTGACTGCGTTTTAGAATTCGACCAACAGCTATAAAACACTATCAACGGAGGCTCGACTCGGTTACCGTATGATTTTCTCGACGCCGATCTTCTCCGCTTCGCCTCAAATTGTCGCTTCAGGGGCCTGCCCCACTTGGAGGCGCTAATCAATATGTTCAGAGTAGCCTATCAACGTAGCAAGACGAAGAAGAACGAGAACAGCTATTAAGCGCCATGTGTGTGCGCCCGGGTGTGATAAGTGGACGAGCCCAATAATCCAAGTGAAAGTAGCTTCCATCAACGACGGTAATAACAACAATTAGAATGAAGGCTTTATCGTTGGACAGTCAGTGGAAGAAGTCCGTAAAGCCACGCGGTTACTGAAACATAAGAGAACAGCAACATTAACTTTATCGTGAACCTCAAGGGTAGCAACTGTGACAATTACGCCGATAATGGCCACTGCAGCGAAAGAGTTAATGAGATAATGACAAAATGTCAAGATTGGTAAACCTTAGAAGATGGGGTCCTCGATTGGCTAGGAAGAACTAATGCCATTGGTTGCTATCTAATATGATAAAAGAGGAAAGCAAAGGCGAAGATCGCTTGGTGAATTCCATGATCATTTGTTGATCATCATGAACGTCACGTACTACCAGGACGGCATACAATGAAACGTTTCTACTCGACTAAGCTTTGCAGGTAGGCTTTAGAACAATAAAAGGGAAGTAACACACCTCAACGTGACGCCGAGAATAGGTTTTGTCGACCTAGCTACATGTTGTTTTGTTGAATATGGTACTAGTTGCTTTGCTCTTAATTAAAATGTGTTGCTTGTCTTTAAAGCCTTCGAGCAGCATTAGTCTCAGAGACAGGCGATAGGCTATGCGGTCGGGACATCGGCACGTATTCCATAACCTAACCCACCCTATATAATTTGTCTCGATATAATGATGCCAGGAATTAACCAGAAACAGCTAAAAAATAACAAATATAAATAAAAAGGAAGCTAGGAACTAGACGTCGCAATGATATTTACACAATTTACTTGACAACGTATGGGTTGCTGAATATGACCCTCATATATTCGCCTTTTCAACCACTAATGAAGCTGTCCAACTGCCGCTTTAATTCTGTTTAATATGGCACGCGTAGAGCCATATGCGTTAAGCATGTAATTTAGCCAAAAGTCCATATGGCTGATAAGATCGAAAATTATAAACAAACTGTTCACGAGCAAGCACACGATCATTTTCACACACGCATATATATATACATATGTGTCTATCGGAAGAGAGTCGACAGATCTAGGCATAACGCTGTAGTTAAATTATGTCTACAGAGCGGCTGGTTAATAGAATGTCAGGCAGTGATATAACCCACATCGAAGACTACACAGGGCGCTCCTCACAATATACAATAGGCTGGGTGAACTCGCTTAACGAACCGGAGTCTAACGCTTCATTTGAGATATATTCACTACGATGCAGTAATAAACCCTTTTTTTCAAAAAATCAATTTTTTTAGGCTATTACTAGTTTTACCGCTGATATATAACAATATTAAGTGGCTGTGGTCACTCGAAATTTTTACCCGGTGGTCTAATTTAAACAAAGCGGGTGTGGCTGATCTATAACGCTGACCATTGTTTTTTTATATATCCCGTCCACTTGTTGATGGTCTCGCTTGATCCAATGGAGTGTAGTTGGTGGAATGGTATGTTCCCACTGTAAATTGTATTCTGCCAACAGGAGCCCTCCGAAATGACTTACTTTATTTTTTTTCTCTAAATACATTTTAAATTTCATTTCCTTTCCACTACTGCTTTGGAAAAAGTAATTTTTTCAAATAGCTCTTGAAGGAGTTAAAGCGTCGTGTTAATCGAAGACTGTTCATCAACTGTTAATTGAGTGGCGTATTTTAACAAACCAAAATAAAGGCCCTGCGATTGCGTGGAGAGGTTGCTCGTACTTGATAGTGATTCAATATACCTCCACTTATTATATATTCAGCTTTGAAATATGTGCATTTCACCTGCTCTAGATTATAAGATCTATTTACGCAGGTTAGCAATAGCGATCCTTAAGTATAATTTTTATTGATTTTCAAGTTTCCAAAAAGTATTTTAGTGCCATTTGGGTGTTCCTTACAGAACAGATGTACCGTTCCCTGTCAGCGCAATTAAATCCAAATCGCTTTTTGAGTGTTAAAGGATAAACAATCATCGGGAAGCTCAGAGCCTTTCAACAATATTTCAATGTCAAGCCAGCTGAACAATATGGACCAAAACGTTATTTGAACATACTTGAAAACATAATAAATTAACCAATATATATATATATATATATATATATATATATATATATATATATATTTTCTATTTTTAGCCAATAAAAAACACGACATCATGATGCAAAAATAAACGCTCAGTTTAATCCCTCCGGCACGAACGCGCCCATATACGTATATATAGGTATAATTAGTATTTATTTCCGAGACTTCCGCTCCCGCCCTTTCGGCTTTTATACGCACCCAACCTTCACGTTCTGCTTCGCTCCTAAGGGGTGATGCATGCTACTGTTAGATGTTGTTGTTGCTTGCCTCACGTGATGTCCAACAATAGTTACTGGCGGCGAGCTTCCCAAGCAATAAACAGCTCTAGAAGCATTACCAAAAAATAAGCATGTTCAGTTGAAGCTATTAGGTCATTATAAGCGATGCGGCGAACTTTGAAACTGAATAACTTTTTGACTAGGTGGGTTAGAATGATGATCTTTAATATGACGTAGAGGTGTACCTCTTTTTTTCTTATAAACTTGTGTCAACGCTCTAACAGCTTCTTGACATCCATATATTTAGTATTCGTGTTCCCATATGTAATTACTCTATCTATGGCTTCTCAAAGTAAATCAATAGTGGAACTTGCTTGCGCACCGGTTGCGTTTTACTACTACCATTATTTTACGTCCATATATACTCGACACTGCCACCGAACTCGGTTTCCCCACAAGGCGACGTCATTCTCTTGTACTGCCTCTTCGCGGACTGAACCAGACTTCAGTGACCTGTGTGTTCCAAGCGGTTTTTTTTTCATTAAAGTTCCGTAAGTTATACGTGGAGTACATGGATTATCAAGTCTAAAAGACGACTTTCATTTTGAACACATTTCTCCTGGAGTAAACTCAATCGATTTTTGCTCAGAAAATTTTAGAAGGCTGAATTACTTACTGGCTAAATTTTGTCTGCTAATGCAAGAGTTATTCGAAGTGAAAGCCCGCCGGATCCGCTTGTAACAGCCTTAAAAATAGTTAGGCTTTTAATTAAAAACAAATTGACCTTACCTTATGAACAATGCGTGCAGAAGGAATGACATGGTTTGGTTCAAAAAATCAACGCTTAAGCCACAACGCTCCACAAATTCATCAAAGATTGATGAAGACATTAGGAAAGGCGGTCTTAATTGCAAGCACAGCGCGTCAATGATGCGAACGTTTCAAGAACGGAGACCGGAATATTAAAGATTAGCAAGGAGGTAGGTAACTAGGTGTCGGAACCCAAAGGATAACAAGGCATTGCCGCAACCGAGAAGGCTTCTTACAGAAGCAGAGCCGACTCTGTCAACTCAAACCTATGTAAAAACTACGTAACATGTTACAGTACTATAACCCAGGTATTGTAAATATTGACAGTGAATAAGAAATGAGCCCTGAGTAAATTGGCTCCAGACTAGTTGCAACTGTGAGTGGTATATTTAACACGCAGTTTGAGAAACCCTAACCCGCATGGAGCATACAACTGTCATAGGCTGGACATGGTTCAAGCTTCACTGCTTGCCAAACAAAGACCACACGAGATAATGCTATCGCCCTGCAGAAGAATCGATTTCGGTGTCAAATAGGCTTGGACGTAAGGTGGTACCTGCAATGGGCATCGGGAGAAATCTGCTACAATGAGATACTTACCAGAAATGAAGCGATGAATGCGGCCTACTATCTCGAGTTCCTTAAGAGATTTACGGACCGTTGGCGCGGCGATCGAAAGTAAACAGTCTGGTACATGAAAAACAGAGCTCATCGAGTTGCCTCAATTACTTGCTGCATTGAGCAAAGAAATATTCAACATTGGCTTCAGCCCACTTGTTCTCCCGACCTAAATCCACGTGATGACGAGGCTTCCCATATCCCAGACATGTCCCATTATCAGCTAGTTATTTACGAGAAACCATAGAAAAATTATACCTGATAACGTGAATCGTAGGTATATGGTGCTCCAGAAACTACCACAGCACTGCGACAAGTGTGGAGAAAAGAAGAGTATCTCTTACTTAAAATCATTATTTAAACCCAACTAGTTTTAAAGTTGAAATTCAATTTGAAAATCCACCAAATCAGCTTGTAACGACTTGATAATCATAGGCATATGCTTATCTTAATGTTTTCTTGACTTGCTCTATTCTTACTACGACTGACTCGGCTCTACAAAACGAACCGTGTTGCAAAGATTATGCATGTCCTATATGTGGTATAGCTTAGTAAACTTGGCTTCGGCCCACTTGTCCTCCCGACCTAAATCCACCTAAGTAAAAAGGTGATATATGTTTGAAGCGAAATTGAGTATGTGTATATGTTATAGTCATGGGACTACGCATGACAACACGCTGTGTTTGTGGAGATCAAAGCACACATCAGTACACCATATTAACAGTTTAATAATAATAACAAGAAACTCTAAATCATTTACGAACGATTTATTAATGAAACTGCTTTAATGAAATTGGTGTTTTAACGTATTCATCCTGAACCAATGAATACATTCTATTACTACAGCGTTCTAGATATAGTTTTTTGTATGAAAAACAAAGTTTACCTGAATTCCAGTCGGCGCAACAACAACACACAGTACAAGTACTTTTTCACCAACAGTAAATCTACTATTTGTTTTTATTAATTTGCCGTTTTTATTTTAGTCGGTTATAACGTGTCACCACCAACCAATCCAAAACTTCTGTAACTAATTGTTGTAAACTCTTGTTTGTCTTCGTTCTTTTTGCGCATTGCCCAGGTCTTACATCACCTGCGCCACGGCAGTGTACCTAGTCGTTCCGTACGATAACAATTAGCCATCTTTACATTGTAACTCGTTTGCAATTTCGTTGAATCAACCAACATGTTATTTCATATAATAATGCCAAAACAGCTCAAGCAAGAATTGTTTTACATCGCTATTATTTTAAAATCGACTTCTTCAAACAGTGAAAACATCTCACCGGAACATTGAAAATGTCGTATGTATATATATCTTCGCCTGTAAACCATAATTATTTTCCTTCGTCTTTTCCAGCTTATACTCTGAAGCGTTGCAAATATACACTCAGACGATCCCTTATTTGTTTGTAGCGCATACAATATTCTTATTAGCTATCTTTTGTTCTTATTTACATGAATTATCTGGCCTAACTGCGGAACCACTCGCGACAACAGGCATACGGTGCTCCCGGCTTGAGTCTCACTTAAGAGCGTACAGTATATCTTTGTATGTATATATCGTTTATCCTTTCTCTTACTAAAAACTTAAGAAAATTAATCTCAATTAATTGATCTCCCGGCCGCCCAAACCCCGATCCAAGCAATAACAAGAAAAAAGGGCACGTTCCAGGACGACCTTTATTCAGAGAGGCGTCATACGGAAATCTAACCCAATTATATATCAAAACGATAATTAAACGTCAGGCATGCCCCTCATAGTGAACCTCTAAGTGGATCATTGGGTCTCTCATAGAAAACTTTCTAACAAGTACCTTCAGCCTTTTTTGCCTTCAGCTGATCTGTTTTTTCGTGTGGTTTCTTTTTAATGAGGATCCCTTATGTTATTCGGTGACAGGGAAACGCTCTAAAAATGTCCAATGGCGACATATCAATGTTGAAGACAAGCCTGGCAAAACAGCCACCGTTATCATTCCCATTAAAGGCATATGCGGAAGAGCTGCTACTTCTTGTCACTGAGCACAGACCAACGCTACGAACAGCTGTTCCAAACAAAACTGGTTCATCATTGTATTATCTATAAATGAACATCACGTGAGCAGTATCATTGTTCTCATAGTTTAACTGACCATTGACCTATTAATTAATTTTCGAATTAACTATCGTGATCGTTTAGTATTTGTCTTTTCATACATGTTTCCGAGTTGTCCTCCTATATTTTGACACTCTCCAGCGGACAATTCCATTAAACGACATGGCACCGACAACGTACTCTTACCTTCTTTATTTCATCGTCATTATCTTCCCAAACATTTATCGCTATATGTAAAGAAATAAAAACGTTGAAGGATCCTTTGAGACTTCATTTAGCGCCGTCACTGCCATTTTCATGGGCAGAATTTATTGGCATGTGTGTCTAAGTGTATACTAGTTACTTCGATTTGTTTTGTTAGTCGAGGATGTAGCAATGATTAAACAAAAAATCTGTTGACACCGAAAATTTCTTTTCAAAAGCGTTGCAGAATCTATAGCCGCTAATTGGATCGTCTGCTCTATCATTATCAAACGTCTCTGTAAATTAACTTCACTAATCAGTCTCCTAGCTAGTAGAGTTGTGGAAACCGATGTACAGAGAGAATTAGTACGCTACAAAATTCTAATTGAAATTCGGTGTAAGCGTATTTCCGTTGGTGGTTGCTTTAAGCTGCGTCGTCGTCGTCGTCGTCGTCGTCGTTGTTGTCGTCGTCGTCGCCGCCGTCGTCGGTTGAATTTTCGTACCGAGATTAACGCCTGTCGTTGACCCGAGCTGTAGGGTAGACATGTGCGAGTTTATTGAATTTAAATTAGACGCGGGTATACCGCTAGTTAGGTTCGGGGCTATTACACCTCCGGCTATTTGGGTCGGCACAGCCCCGGCAAGCGGAACCGTACTCATGGATTTTCCGAAGTGTCCCTGATTGGCGATAAACGCGGCCTGTGTCGCAGGAACCCCACCAAATCCCCCGAGTTGGCCTAAACCGTTCAATTGTCTGGGATGCGCGTAGCCGGCTGACATTCTTAACGGTGGCTGAAGTGCTACAATAGCCCCACCCATGAGGAAGGGATTATTAGCAACCATCTGCGGTGTAAGCCCATTTAGGGGACCCATAAAACTCATGTTTAGGCCGGTCTGTTGTTGTAGCAGTGGTGATTGCACTGGAAAAGACACCGAAGGAAATATTTATATGAGTCACACATTAACGTAAAGAACAAGTTAACAGGGGGTAATTTTTATTAATAGACTTGTTTAGTAAATTAATCCGTTATGATTTATGGATATAATGATCATAAGACTAGTATGCGTTAAAAAAAGCATAGAAATAATACCGAATGCTTAATTTAATTGTATACATGCACTTTTCCACTGAGAGTACGTGTTTGTAATAGCAATTCACCTGATGGAGTCTTCGCGTATAAAGACATTATGCTAGCGGTGTCAATTTTGGCGTTCCCGCTCCCATGACCACAGACGCCATTAGCGGATCCGGTCGATCCAGAAGATACTTGACTGAAAAAATCTTTTTCCTCAGAGTCTGGACTCCGAGGAGGATTGGCTATTGAAGTGGCTGCAGGAAGCGGTGCCGAAATGAATTCCGCGAACAGGTCGTCGCTTGGAGATGCTGTTGCATTTTATGGGAAATAAATTAAGTATTATAGCATGCGCCACTGAACTATATGTACCAGAATATTGCGCAGAAAGAAAAAAATGCAATTTTATAATCTAGTGAAGAGATGCTTCTGTATATATATACATATATATATGTATATATGTACATATATATATATATATATATATGTATATATATATATATATATACAATAATTCTATATATCGAAATTCAGTATCATCATACATAGCTGACTTTATTCATCTTTGAGCCCTTTAATTTAGCCTGTATTAATGCAAATTTTTCTTGAATGGTCCAAAGGTAGCATGGGAATTAATACCAGGTAAATCCTCGATTTCGGATTATGAAAGTCGTTTATAATCTCAGTAGGGATTATTAAGGGCGAAAATATACGAAACATAATAGATGATATCCACCTATGTTTTGAAAACAAACTTCGAAAACTCTGAATCTGTCTCGGACGCTTTATATATACATTGAATAGCAAGAACCAGGATCTCGATGCCCGTCAAAAGTATGCGACTAATGTTTGTTTTCACCTTAGAGTAAATTGCACTTGGAAATTTTTTACGACACAAATTGGTTATGTGCTGAAAAAATTATGTAACGATTGCCAACCTGATATTTTCAGCCTATAAACCTATTTTTATCTGAATGCTTGCGTTTGCCAACAGAATCCATACATCTAAGCGAAACCGCCGAAGTGACAGGTTATAATTCTAGGTTTTCCATGGCAGGCATTCGCAATGGCAACTATGTACGATGCTCATAAGTCTGAGAGGACCGTCGGCCGTGACTGTATTCCAAACTTATTCCTTAGTAGCCTTATAAGCGGAATAAGGCAACCTAACTTACATAATGTACCTAATTTCTCAATCGTATTAAACTGTTTGATAATTTTAATCTCTCCATAGCTATTGAACTTTTATTGTAGCAGTATAGATGTCGGTAATAAACTAGAAAAGTAATAATTATTTGCTCTACTTACTAGGAGCTGCAGAACTCTGTTGCTGCTGGGGCTTTTGGACAGCAGGTGCAGTTGGCGATGTAAGGCCTTCCTTAAGGTTACCCACGCAATTCGGCCTGGGCACTGAACTTGCAGCAGCCGACAAGTCGACTTTTCTTTCTGTCGATATTCTGCTATGACCTGTGGCTGACAGGCCTAGCACACTTAAATCAGCCTTCTGCGGTCCGGTTGGCGGGATCCACTCCGGGGCGATGTATTTCTTGTGCTCGTACTTGCCTCGGATAAATGTTTCCAAAGCTGAATCATTTTGTGGACGGCGAAATCCATCAGGGAGATTTGCCTCATAAACAGCTCGACCTAAAATAAGTACGGTCCATTGCACTTAGTTGATTTGCGCTCACTAATGTCAGAGTTAGAAGTTTTGAACGTCTTAAGCGTTTTATAAAGATCTTGCGCACCTTTCTCAAAAAAAACAGATAGGTTACTGAAACATTTTACAATGTCTAAACGTAAGTATGCAACGTGTTATTATTGTTAACAACGTGCAAACCCGGGTATATTTCAACTCTATTTAAAAGGTACTTTATGAATGATGTTGATACAGTCAATGGCTCAAACTATCGCATCCGTACTTGAAATACACAACGCTACTTATTCAAAACAAAATACACCCTTATAGTGTGCTGTATCTCATCGCAATTTGAACTGGCCAAAATAAATAATACAGAAATTGGAGTTTTAATTCCTAGTACATATGCATTTTACTGAGCTTAAACCAGCCACCTTTGCTAGCATCTTTCTACAGCAGCTGAAGGTTTAGCCGTCAAAGCCGCTATGCCGACCCAAACTTCATTTGAATGTTCAATAAAAGTTGCTGCCGTAGAAATAGTTCCACGTTTGTTCTTTATGACTACGATAAGCCGATGACAAACTCCCGTTAGTTCTTAAAAAGAATGTGAGATCAGAACGGTTCCCTAGTGCTTCGAAAGCGACTATATGACCTGCGAAAAACCGCATTGTTTTAACTTGGCTTGGTCCATTTCCGATGTTTGCATAGGTTTGTAAGCACAGTAACTGATATGTAATGGAGTTAAACTATCAATCACCACGCCGTCTCAAAATAGATACTGTCCCTAAAAGAAAAGCGATAAGCGTCAGCCTATGCGGTTATCGATCGTTTCCTCGATGCGTTTCCGCCGACTTGGACTGCTTGCCTAGCAGAGTAGGCTGTGTTGAATTCAGCCAAAGCAGATTCCGGCTTACCATGTCTATGTCAGCAGTAATTGCAACTCTAGCATCTATTTGCCATCGCAACATCAGTTACTAATCAATGAAATACGACAGGAATAATTATTCTTTTTATTAAAACGGATTAATTTAGTCGTGCTGAATTTCGAACAGTTTCTCTTAATATATATATATATATTGCTGTTCCGCTAAATTCGCGTAAATAGACATGGAGACGAGTTTGTAAATATTGGACAATAAAAAGTATGTTAAAATTCTCTTATACTCGATTACTTCAGGCGTGTTTGTCGACTGTTGTCCGCATAGGTCCAACTTCTCTTCATTTACACTACATTCCTGAATTTTGTCTGAGTTCCAAATTTTTGTCAACTTATACCTTGACCAATGTTAGCGCGAAAGTGGCAGGTAAGAACAGACCAATTATTTGAGAAAGCGCTGAGTTATGGCTTAGGAAGCGAACATGAAACCGGAAACATTTTATATAAGAAATAATGGGTCTTACTACTTACCCTTTGAGTTTCCCATGCTCTGCATGGATCCAACCTGTTCATCGGTCCAAGAGTCGAGGTTCACCGATTTCACCCTGGAAATGTGGACGCCAAGATTTCGATGGATACCCGCACAGCGAATGCAGACAAAGATCCCAAGGTTCCACGAAGCCCATCGCGGCCCTAAGGTAACACGAGAACAAAAAGAAAAAGATCACCAATAATGAAAATAGTTTGATCAAGATTATCGAATACAATCAGGCTGAACCTCTCAGTGCAGATAGGTATTAATATATATTTAAAAACTTTTTATTAGTGTATTTGTTAGATTCGAAGCTAGTAATATTACGCCCTAATTATTTAGCCATCGTAAAATCGAACGTTCCGTAATTGTTTAGTTGTTACAATATCGCTAAATATTTAAACGAGTTACACAAAAAGCTTTAGACATTAATAAGAGCCTAATTAATAAGACCTTAATAAGAGCTAGAAATGCATAAACTATTAATGCGAGAACTGAAATTGTTGATAAAGCCTGCAGTTTGCACGAACGATTTGAATATAAAGGCTTCCTCTGCCTATGCAAAAACAGGATTCTCTCACTTAAGCAATTCTCCATCGCGTTGCATTAGTTAGAAAACGAGTTTTCTAAAAATAGCTAAACTGTGTTTGCATGACGACAAAGGCTACATAAATATCAAAGCTTGATCATTTCGAGTCATCGACGTAAAACGTGAACATCATTTATTCTAACACAAATATCAACTAGGGCAAATAATCTAGTATTTACTCTATTAATTTGGTTCTATCCGCAAGTAATAAAACATAAGTACTGTCGTTGAGAAAAACAACGGCTTTTCTCTCCTAAAGGTGTCCCTACTTAAAATTTATTGATGGCCTATCGTCATTTTTATTGATGGTTCAATGTAGCACTAAATGACGTTTTTTATTGGCAAAACATGCCCATAAACTATACTAAAAACATACGCATAACATCAGGACAGACCCGTCCGTCTTTAATATTTGAAGGGTTTAGCAATCTCCTACTTACGTTGAACCCTGGCTTATGCCAGTTGATATTCGATTTACTTATTCGTCTGTATACTCGTTCGTTCGAAATAGACACGCTGTCTATATACAAAAGCTTTACTACTCCCAAATAACCATACGACTGTCAGCTGCTTATTGTGCCCAGTTCTGCGGTAGCGCCCGTATGACCTATTTCAATACGCAGCGTTTGAACTGATGCAAAACTACACCTAGCTTCGTAGAGCTAAATCAATAGCAGCTTTTGGAACTAATTAGAAAGAAAGGGCTGTAATTTTGTGATCAATATGCTGCTGCTTTTCTACAGAATCTATGTAGAATTGTAATCATTGCATCTAGAGACTCGAACAAAGAGTCTTTTGGTTAACTGCAATGATACTACTGTTGAAGCACGCAACATACCTTCCGCAGGGAGACTCTAATATGATATGAAGATCTGTAGAGAAGTTTAAGTTCAATGTACAATTTAGGACTTTTAGAAATTCAAAAACAACTGTACAGTCAGTTATCACCCTATTCAACAAGCATAAAAAATAATTCGCTCCGTCTCTAACCATAGCATGCGTATAAATCTAAAACACTCAGATATGTTTCATAAGCCAACTACAAAAACAGAATTGTATCAGCAGAAAATATATAACGGCTAACAATACGTAATTCGATGGCTTCTCTAACAGAAAGCTTGGGATAAAAACAGTATTAGTCAGCTTAGAAGCGACATGCATACATTACTAAAAAACTAAAAAACCGTTCTTTCCCTGATAATCTCAATAACTTCATAATACATTTTACATGATATCCATTCTATCTATATGCGTTCTCCCATGCGTTTTCTACTCACCTCATTTTTTTGATCAATCATGACAGACGTGTGTTATTCAAGGTGAACACATCGTAAAGGTTGTAAGTCATCTTTACTAGTCTGGAATCGTTCCATGATGCCAGCTATTTCTTCAAAACGTAGCCTGATACTAAGACTACGTCTTGCCGTGTCGAATTTGTCAATCCATCAATATTACTACTACCATCAATATCTACCGATATTAGCAATGCAGCCTTTGCCGTGAAAAAAAGAGTATGTAAGAATAAAGGACACAACAATATGCCCCACGAAGCGAAACGCTAAAATGTGAAAATCCACGAAATACTCCCCCTGGATTTTAACATTAAACAGGGCGCCGTTGTTTGTTATTCAGCGGTAAAAGATAGAACTACTCTGGAATTGGCAGAACAGCCACAACTCGATAGTGGGACGCTATTGTGAGCGTAGTATAGTTAGCGTAAAAAAAATCGCTGAAACGATATAACCGCCACATTCACTTGCAGTTGGGCACAGATAGCTGTTCAACAATAGTCCTGTTCCTGCTATACGCTCTAAGAGAATCACTGCTCAGTTTCAAGCTGCTACCGAAAGACAGAGTATAACTCTGCAGTTCGCCAAGGAAGTTGCTTCTATCTCAAATAGATATGCGGTAAAACACATAATAGAAAACAGCTGGTCGAAAAACAGTGACAGCAGCACAGATAACATTATCATATTATGATTTGCAGCAAGATAAGGTGATAAAACACGGAAACGTATGGCTATCTAATGCCGAAAAGCCCGTATAACATCCGAAATAATATTTCATTTAAGCAAATATATCCACAATCGACCGTGCAACGTTGACGGGTCCATGTGCTTTCCGCAGTTTTCAAGGACAGCTCATAACGTGCAGAGGCAAATTTTTTAATTGATCAGTTCAGATTTTCAGGTGCCAGCGTTCATGTACGGGACGCCCCATATGTCCCTTGTTCCAATTGAAATGTCATCTAGCTCTCGCAGTCGTTTTTCTGACGACAATTTCCCAGCCCATATTCACAGAAATTGCTCTAGCCGGTATCGAGACATACGTACATATCTGCGTGAATTTATCAACTCGATTTGCACAATAAGATACGTGTACTTAGCATTCCTATACGAATTCTTGCATTATATACAAATCGAAGATACTTTTCACGTACAAATATTTTGCCAGGCATACAAATAATCAATATATGCACTTGATGAAAGGTCCACTTATTGCATCAATCCAAATCAATTTTTATAATAGAACTTAGCGTTTATCGAAATAGGAGCACACTACGGTGAAGTGATGCTATTTATGTTATGTAATTATGTAAAAAATGTTCTACTGAGGACTGATGGCTAATCGTATTTAATTGCAATATTTATGATCCTTTTAAGTTGATGGGATTGAAAAGATCCACTTTATTAGCACTTAATTAGCTGAGCAGAAATTATTGCTTGTCGTTTATATATGTCTCGTCTACAATGAGTGATCGTCCACGAAGCCGTACGTAATCAAATATATCGAACGAACTTCGTTTGATACCTAACTGCTACAAGCTTCTTATTACAATGTTTCATCATTGCTACCCTACATAATGAAACGTTCGTATAATGGGCATATTTTGTAGGTCACGGGGCATGCATTTAAAAGTTCCGTCATTTAGCTTCATCCAGCGCTAAAAATGATAAAACATGCCTTGCTTCCTTATTAGCCGTCGATATTTCTCTTGGTTAAGAGTGGAAGTGGGCGCATTCTCCTGTCACATCTCTGAGCGGTTCGTTACATTATGCCTGTAACATCGCCATCAATCGCTATAACATATTCAGTGTCGCTGTCTGAACAAGTGGCGCCTTAATTGTTGTGATTTACATAAGCTTATGTACCTGTCATGTTTGGCGTTAATCGGATACTTACAGCTTACGAGCAGTTGTTGCATCTTTTGAGCTGTTGAGTTCCTTCTGTGTTACCGAATAACAGCCCCTAGTTATTTTATGTCATTGAGATATTTTCCTGTTTAACGACAGGAATACCTTATTTTTTTCCAAAACCTGATGTTAGCTTACTAGCAAACGCAATACCCCTACCGACATAGCAAAGATGTGAAAGTTTTGAATTTTAAATAAAGAATTTTGTCCCTTGCTGCAGAATTAATGATGATAATTGAAAAAAAAAACACCAATATTAAGAATAACTACCCTTATCAAGGACTTGCAATATATTAAATATTCGTGGGAATTCACTGTGCTCCGGTTTAAAACGTTTCCAGATATTTTGAGTAGATTCAAGGATAAACTACTTGAAAAATTTGGTTTTTCCGAACCCTAATCTTGATATCTCGTGATAGAAATTATTATGCAGAAGAATGTCCTAATAACCTTAATCTAATTATCTGCGATTGATGGCGATGTCGCCACTCTACTGACCGTTAAAATGACAGTATGTTTATTGTTTTGGGGTTGCTACAAAAGCTTCGTCCTAATTAAATATGTGCAGTTTTCTCTTTATTAATGACTTCGCTTGCGTTGCAGCCTCATTTGTTGACGTCTGGATCAACCTTCAAACGGTAGCCACTAGAAAGCTTGTCTGCTTGGAGCGCTTTACTGGTCTCGTATGCTGTGTCCATATCGCTGTTTCAATTATCGACATGGCTTTACATAACCGCCAACGAAATCTAACTCAGATCACCGCTTAATAACCGCTCTTAGGACTGCCCTTTCGTCTTACACTTGGGTTATCCGTGATATATGAGGAAGGAAGGTTACACTATACGCACGCCAGTTGAAATTACCCACGCGGCCATTATGTACTATTTTACATCCGCGATAATATAGGCGAAACTTAGTGTGAACATGTTCAATTAAGGATACCATCACCAGTGTTGAATGTGTTGTAATTCTAGCAATGAAAAGAGTAGATGTTTTTGCACTTTTCATTGTTATTATTAGTAATGTATTTATTCACATTGGCGATAGTAACGTCATGCATTCAGGCATAGATTTCCCTCGAAATGTTCATTAATCGAAACGAGCATGACATCCACAGAAGTGACGGATTTTAATACAGTAGCAATAGTACAGTTAATTCATTCTACGGTTGCTACCTATTATAGATGCCGAAGGTTCTCGTGGCATCTTGTTTTCAAACAAATTTCTATCAGCTCAACCCGATTTATAATACTACTAAACTTGCATCAGCAAACGAACTTGTGATAACCAAAGCGGGAAGAAAATAAAAGTGCCGTTATAACAGTAAACAAATTTTCGTTACACACATAGAGATGTTAGCGTCAAGTTGAGCGCTGGTGCAGTAATAATCATAGCAGACTGCTAAACCCATAAAAAATTAGTAGTAATGGTCGCATGGTTATCTAATAGTGACTTTACCTAATAAATTGTTTTTTGAATAAATTTTTAGTTAATATGGAACAAAACTTGAAAACGCGCGCCGTTAAAGATGATTTGCTCAACATATAGCTGACTCAAAAATTCCTCACAAGGGCTGAGACTCGCTAATGATTTATCAGTTCATATATTACCGCCATAAACAAGCTGTACAACTAGATCTCGAGAATACTATGAACATTCAACTCGCGCGTTACTAGCACGTTATACAAGTTACATCCACGCTTCTTGTTATCCTAATCTTACCTGGTTCTAGTTAGGTATCGTTTTCGATATGTGCAGTCTTTGTCTCAGGGTTTAGTGGCCATATTATATCAGGTTATTTGTAAGGCTACTGTCAAAAGGACTACTACAAAATGATATCGCACTGTGCTTATGGATAGATGACGAGACTGTACGTCCACTTAGTGGTGCAACAGACAAGTTTTTTCGTTGTCATCCCTCCTTATATTAACTGAATATTATTTAGTTAGGAGAGATTATATATGTATATACATAACCTGATGAAATTATAAAAAATCTGGTATAACAGATTTTTAATGATTTCAATCGCGATTTAGCTTCGGCTTTGTTAAGGGTATGATTAAATTAAGGATACGGGTCATGAAGCGTTCGTCCCGGCTTCTTCGATCACCTCTAGCTAAGGCTACCATCAACATAGACTCGAATACTATACGACCTGCTGCTGCATCAATAACGGCTAGCCTACGGCAACATAACCTGCCGTAGAAATTTTTCAGCTAGACCGTTTAGCCAGGTAGGCAGCTATGGACACGTTGCTACTCTGTGCCTTTTTCTGTCAGACGTAGGGCGGGATAATGACTCAACGAAGAGACTTGCCTCTAAGGGCCAAAGACAGCTAAATTTGGCCGATTCATGCACATCTATAGCCATATACTCCGCTGTATAATAAAGTAAAGCCGATTGTTTTTTATTGAAAACGAGAAAAAAATTGAGACAGAACTTCTACGGAACCTCTGCGAATCGCTGAATTTACGTGACCTTTTTTTGTCAGCCAAAAAGACGCAGAAAATGAAAAAAAATATTAAGCTACGTTTATTAAATACAAAAATAATTTTTATCATAAACTTAAGAATCAGAACTTCAAAGTGTTTACTGACGATAAGGAAAAAAAGTTCAGCCAAAACAATTCGGTAAAATTCTTCATATCAAAATCTGTGTGCACTGATGTTATCAGAAATTAATCGATAGTAAAACTTTCCATCAAGCAATGTAACACGATAAATTGCTATGTATAACCTCCACTGCAATAACTCGTTTTGTTTAAGCATGTGGTGGGAATACAACTTAACTATTTACATCATAAGGAACGCCAACAGTCGGGCGTTCTCGAAGATGTTCGTTATAATTATAACTAATCATTTTCTTCTATCAGTAGCAGCAAAGCAGTTTTTTTCTACCGTGCAAAGATTCCTCAACAACAGTGAAGCACACACAACGATTTTGGAACCTGGACATCATTTTAACAGTATAAGTTGACTGATAATCATCTGCCATAGTTTTCCAACTTGATTCAGTTCTCACAGACCTAATGTTTTTCTTTGATTTTGAAAACAAAACTTCGTACCCGTTTTAACATTTGAATACACTCAAGCTACCACTACACTTGTCGCTACAGTAATCGAGAAAAGAGAGTAGCAATTAAATCAAGTTTCCTAATAATTTTTCCTAATCTAAAAATCAGTAAGTGTATAAGATTGTACAGATGCCATATCCCAATCAGGCACATACCAGAAGAACTTATCCCATGAAACATTGCATAGTTCTTTAGTTTATTCCGCCCGCCGGCCGGTATCATGATAATAATGGACCGGTCTTTGAGCCCCGCAACAAATAACAACAATAGCGTAAAATATTCATAAAATCCATTGTATTACTGCACAAACAACACTGGTGTATTATCCAGATGGCATAATTATTGCGGTGGCTTATATTTATATACAGTTTGAAATAGCATTCAATTTTGGTAGTACCTTTAGCATCACAGTCGGCGCAATATTTGTTGTCTTCCTCCCGGAGTAAATAACTAAGAAGGGCCTGCAGCTTATCCTGGAGGGCCTTATCGGCTTTGGCGTTACGAGCGGCGCTCATGCTGAGCTCTTGACACACGCACACACGTTGTTACAATTAAACGATGTTAACAGAAGAACAGTTTGGTAGCTAATTGATCCGCACGTGCATAAACAGAATACTCGGTCGTGCACCTTTTCGCTGCCGTATCCTTTGCTGTCAATATCTTTTGCCAATTATTATTACTATACGCTATTTAAGTGTGAGCCACTACAACATCACAGTCCATGGCTAGCTGCGTGTCTCCACTTTTTGTCTCACTAATAATATCAATAATAGTCACGAAGAAAACACGATAAAATATGCGGATGTTTTGTTCTGGGTGCTCGAAATCGTCGTCGTTATCCAATACGGCTACTCAGCCCAGCACTTGGCTCTCTGTTAACTGTGCAATGTCCGTTCAAGCGACTGGCGATCGTATGTCGATCTTTCGGTCGGCCGCTTTTTGATTTGCTGTTAGTGTACACCAACAATTCGTGTACGGTGCAGAAACGGCGTCTGCACAGATATTCACCCACTAACTTACGGGCTTTTTCGCATAATGTTAGTTTACGTATAAGTGATGGATGGAAACGATTGCTGCAGCACGCTCGCCGCTGATGGTAATACAGGCAGATCAGAGCTGTCACACGCCGTTGCTGCTGTTGCGCCAACGTAATTCGATGTCAAGATCTGGTTGGGACGGAATGATTGTAACATTTAAACAATCAAACAACCCGTAAGCTACAACCGGGCTCTTGGCGATATAGCTGGTACTGTGGAATTGGAACAGAGGGTAAAATTTTACGAAAAACAAGCACACAACGTCGTCACAATACACAACTTGAGTAAGGCGATTGGCAAAGGTCAATTTGGGTGGTCAAGAGACAACTGAGAATGCCCTTAACAAAGCTACACACGACGGATACAAGACGGCTATTTCACATACCGAATATTCAATGGACGGATCGGCTAACTCAGTAATATTGACAGCAACAAAACGTTACATCCCGCACAGAACAAATGCCCAACTTCTGCCGCCGATACGCACACGCCGTGTGCGTGCTATCCCGCAGTCAGATGAGCAAAAACAATTGTTCTATAACGACAAAGGCAGTGAGTCACACTTTCCTTCAATGGTAATATCTCACGTCACTTCACCTGGCGGTAACTTTATGACGATGGCGACAATTGTCGTCGTAACATCTTCCTAATTGGTAAAATCAATGCGTGTGATAGATTAACGAACATTCCACCAAAACCACTCGCTCGTCCGCCTGTCAATATCCAACGAATGGCGACTACCTGCTACTGCTCAGAATAGTCGCAATTACCAACCGTCGGAACCGCCCCTGTTGTGAGCAGCAGCAGATATTCAACGAATGCAACTCTTTCTTGGCCCTTCTTCCTATCGGAAGAATTAAACTGACAGAGATACGAGCATATTGGCTGAGACTGATGGGTAGCTGATTGATCACGAGCGGCGCTGACGGCAGGCGACACACGGCGGGAGTCGTAACGTTTCGACGTGGTGGGTCGTTATCTACCTCAGTAGCGTGGTACTGAATAGTGCTATATGGCGGTGCCACATTCGTATCACGCCAACGGTACGCACAGGGATGTGTCAGTAAAGGAACGAAGAGCTTTCGTTTCGGGCCGGAACCCCATTTGAAGGTTGTGCGCTTCTCGAGACAAATTACACATAGATGAAAGTGTGAGTTTATGTGAGCTAATTAAAAGCTTTTAACTCTATTCTCCATCGCTAGAATGTAGAATCCCAATTGGCATTCCGGAGGCGTTGGTGAATATACCTAGTGTGATATAAAAGTTGCTAGAAGTTAATCTCATTAATAATGTGCGATCATTAAAATGTGCCGTGGAACATTTTTATGCGGTGTTTCTCGTTGACGTTCCATTTACTGATCTCATGTCTAAGCAACTCGCAAAGTGAAGAGACGAAAGACTCATCGAACGTCGAAAGACCGCCATCATCTCAGCTGTGTCAATTCAAATTTCCCGCCACAAAGAATGTACCGTTTTTTTGCATGAACCTCAGCGGGATTCCCCATGAAGAACCCGACAGTGTCATTCACCAACTACGTAGAATACTTTAACATATAATCCGTTCAATAAAAAGCTATTGAGTTTATTCAAATAGGCAATGTAAACCCCGCTCACTCGAGTGCACTCACTGGTGCTCTCTGCCTTATGGCCAATCGAGTACATATTGTTCAGACTAGGCGACGCTTAGCTCTCTCCAGCCACCAACTTCTCGTCGGCTTCTCCCGCTCCCGACCTATCCAGTGGGCTCAGGAACGGCGACCGTAGTTCTAGCTTTTCCATTGAGTGCAGTATCATGTTTGTTGCATGTCTGCAACAACAAATTTCGCTGGCGGTAGGCAGTCAACCTATGCTACCGGTTTATCCATCTGCTGCCGGGTTTCTGGTCTATGGACGGGCCGTCAACCGCCACGGATGGTTTCCAGAGCGCGCACCTAACAGAAATGCAGCTTTTTAGGGTAAGTTTAAGTTTTTTTTCTATTCGGCCCGTGTTCATGTTTGTCATCCGCTTGACTTCATTCGGCTAGCGGCAGCCGATGCAGACCATTTGAGTCTGCTACAACCCTGAATTGTATTGATGGCAGTATCTGCTTGAACCAGCGAAAACCAACAGGCAGTAATTCGTCTCGTTTCAACTACACTCGTATGCTATATATATATATATATATATATATACATATATATATATATGCAGCATATTTTTTGTGTCGTCTAATCGCTAGCCGTTACTGTCGTAGTCCTGCAGTACCGGATCGGTACGCATCCTTATTGAAAGCGAGTAATGATAATGATACAAGTGGTGATGTCCGAGAGGACCCTGAGGCCGCGCCCCCGAGGGCTTTTTTTGATTTATATCGTACAAATAGCGCGCTACTGATCCCTGCTATCATCGCCATCGTAGCGGTGATCCAGGCTGTGGTGATCACCTCCACTCTTTCCATCTGCCAGTTTCTTCACGTGAGTCGGCGTCAACTCCTCGAATTATTTATCGTCTCCAGCTGCTCTTCGCCAGGGCCGAAGTCTCGAAATCTCCAAATCGAACGAGCTGTCAAAAGAGCGTCGTACATCGTGTCGATGCGTGCGCGCTTGTTCACTTGTCTAACCCGCCACAACTGCCGCTGCTGTGGCTGCTACCTTTATCGCGATGACAACGGCCGTCACTGCAGTTGTTATTGGCGCCGCTGTACCTGCCTGGGCCTGTATCGTCGCCTGCGAGCAACTGGCGACAAAGAAATTGATCAGGCGCCAGCCAAGAGTCTTCAGTTCGCCCCGATCATTGATGTGAGCGAAGTTGTTGTCACTATTGACAGATGCTGCAAAGGAAAGTGTGAAACGAAAGGAGATTTAGGGAAAAATTGGCTTGTCACGCACCAAATTTAAGCAGGTTTAGTTAACGCCCTTGAGTGAAAGATGCTGGCTGAAAAATAATGAGTAACTGAAGAAGGGTGCTTATATTATAGATTTTGTATACAGAAAAAAAGATTGAAGAAAAAGTGTGGCGTACATCAGCTGAAGTTGAATATGCATCAATTTTAGCGGATAGTTTATAGAAAGTCAATAGATCATATATTTTGCGAAATATATTGGCTATGATATGATTATTTTTCGTTGATATCTACAGTGGGCATGGGTATAATACACCACTGTTTGATACTGCTGTTCCAGTTATTGGTGTCCCCAACGGCCAATGAATGATGTATTCTAGATAACGGAGAGGATGGAAACAGAATGTCAATTAACTTGACGGGACAGACAACTTACCCCGATTTTCGGTGTGGAGCTTTCAGATATCGATATTGGCAAGGTCTAGTACGCTGCCCAAATGTCGTTTATTCGTTTCAATGCGCTACTTGTATTATAGTTAATTACAAAAAGCTGTAACAGCTAATGTAGGTACGGGGGAGAAGTTCAAAGAATCCCCAATCGGTAGAAAAATACCGCTACGTTAAAATGCTTATGCTTCTATTATAGGATATGAACAAGTGTATGCATCCATCCCATATTTAGACGCGCAATTATATTGTGTGAACGGAGATTGACCACTAATACTGTTAAACATTCGTAATATTATGAGAAAATTCATTGAGGAAAAGGAAATTTCGCAGGTTGAGTAATGAAATGTAAATTTCATTATATTTTCGTTTCAATGAATGGCCCTTCTTAAAATCATAGTGTACATCGCTGTATTCTGCCGTTGGGTACGGACAATAAATCTACATAACAACTAAAATCGGAAATCATTCGTAACTGAATACGACCCATCAGTTTTGTCTGATAGCATTCGCATACTTCCTTGCAAGTATTATAAAATTATTTTGTAAATTCAAAATATGATTAAGCGTAAATACATTGTGAGCCGTCGTGCAGTTAATAATAATGGCGGGCCAACGACGTGATGTTGTCAAGGAAAACATGCCATAATAAGAACACTGGTGCGACGAGTAGATCAATTTATGTTATACCGAAAATACCTAACATCTATTTATCGTATTTGCATATGTAAGTAATATATGATATAATATTTTGCTTTGTTGACATAGATTATGCATATAAGTGTTAACATACCAGAACCGACTAGATTCGGCAGTCATGCTCTTCTTGGTAATTAGCAGAACCGCTTTCTCATATTTTAATCGTATACAAAAGAGTAATTATTTACTACTGTACTACACACGTGCTACCGTGATTCTACATAGGTTTTACCACAGTGTTAATGTGACTTTAAGGTCTAAGGCATTGGTACGGGTTCGACGCTGCCGCCTTAGAAGTAATTTCCTATGTGCAATTTAAGTGTCCAAAAGATCTTTGAGACGAGAAATGGATGAAATCCCAAGCAATGGCTAGGATGAACGAGTTTCTGGCTTATACAAAAATATCACAATAGCTAGCTCGAGGTATCAGTCTATGATTGTACGATCATATTTTCTATTTAAGAACTTAAGCCAGAAGTGTTTACGAGTATAGGTAAATTAAGAGGTCTTATCAAAACAAGTTCATCAGTACGGCACTGCCAAAGAACTTGATATGGAACTGTATAGTATTACATAGTAGTCTTTTTTTTTCGTTTTTTTGGAACGGTTTTTGCCATTAATTGTTCCATTAATTGGTTGAGTAACTGGTTCACTGGAAGGCTCGATGGGTGCTTCTGATTAGTTCTCAAAAGTCCGATGTGAACATCTAGTCTGATACATATTACGTTCTTTGAAAAAAAAAGAACATGTCTATACCTGTGATTCGACGGGAATGGCATTCATAGGTTCCATATATTTCCCTTATCATACATATCATGTGTGTCTGAGGCTGGCTGATATTGAACGGTTTATTAAGTCTCTGATGTCTATTTATTTTTAATTATTTTTCTTTAATTTTAGCTAAACAGGTGCATTAAATGTAAATTAGGGCAAAAGCGTAAACATTTATCGTAAATCAAATTATATTTTTATTATTACATGCGCCCAGCATGTTCTACGGTAACTGCAGTCGCAGTATCTTTTGCTTCAACTCTGTTGCAAGAATACACAACATATTGAACATAGGCCCATGAGACGCATATCTATAACTAGAACCACAAATGAAAGTCTTCCGGCCTATACACCATGTCGAACATCGCAGCCGAAATCATGCGGATTGAGGACCACTAACTGAAATGATCCAAGAGCTTTGTTCGGTAAGTTCGTCGTATTCAGATATATCAGAATTTTTTAACCGATTCATAGCTCGCATATGCGCTAAAAGTAAGTTTTCATCCGTTTAGAAACAGCACTTGCGCAAGGAATTCGTTCGCCTTAATTAGTGCTATAAACTTGTACCTTTTAAAGCAACATAAAAACAGTGGTTTTCCTACAGTGGTAGGCGATTGCTGCGATCCAATTTGACTTCGATCTTAGAAACAAACCATGAATGCACAGCTGTGTAAAAAGCTACAATGAGTGCGGACCGGTGCAGCCATATCTTTACCCATACGGAACCGCCCATGAGAACCATAATCAAGCTGGCGCGTATAGCTATCGATTTTAATACTCCGACTTTTTTTGGGTAATATTCAGTATGGGTTTTGGTCAAGTTTGAGACACCTTTCTAGAGCATATTCTTGCATGACTTGTGGACCTAATACGTAGCCTTTACTTCTTTTGGCATTAACGCGGTTCAGGTACAGAAAAACGAAACCGTAAATGATAAATCTTCAACGAAATGAATAACCATTTGTTGTTGGCATTTTCAAATGTGGGAAAGCATTGGAAAAAAACAGATACTAAATGACTAATTCAGTTTAATGTTTATATCTATCACTACATCTGGGTCAATGCTAGTGACGTAACGACTCCTACCGAAGCGAATCAAAAGGAGCAATTGCATTAAATGGAACGGTGTAGCCGAAGCTCGTAATGACTAAGCAGGCAATCAGTTTTAACTAAGTTACTGAATTAGCTGTCTACGAAAATAGGGCTCGTGCTGGAAACATATGACCGGAAAATCATACTATCGAACTGCGGCTGAAGAAGACCAGAGTTGTGAAATTCCGAGTAGGTGCCACGCCTTAAAGATTTTACACCGTAACAAATTGTATCTATTTATATTTTCAGCATTCTTACGAAATCGACGATTATAGTGTTCCTGTTGGTCGGGGTTTTCATTGAATGTGTAGTCGTCAGTCGGCTACGTATCCACCTGTCTGGCAACCAAATCAAATTGGGTTCCCATTCGACTACGATTTGTCGCTGTAATATGAGCAACGAAAGGGGACTGTAAATATCAAAGATATCACTACCCTAAATAAGTAGGTCCTCTCCTAGAAATGTAGTTTTGTTGAAAATGTTTATAGAAAAGACGTCGACTAATATTTGATTATTCTTATTTAGAAGCCATATATAAACGTGACGTAGGCAAACTGCCCGTTAATTACATTAAAAACATTAATGAAGCGGCTGCTTAAAAAATGGGGCTGAAATGTCATAGCCCAATTACTTTCGATGTCCCGTTGTAGTTAAAGAATATCGAGCAGGTACGCTTCTTCGATATTTAAAATAACAGTATAAACCTGATACATTGGATGCAAAATAAAGCAAAAAGATCTTCAGAGTTCTTTGAAATACTAGAAAAATGGGTGAAATACAATTTACGTTGGACCTGGTACGGAGGCTGATCAAAAGCTCATTCGCAATGAATCGGTGTTAAGTTTGACGACAGGTCTAAGGTTTATGCCGAAAAAAGGCAAAGATTAATTTTCACTCAACGCATACTTCTTGGTTTATTTTAGTTTGCGCATTCAGCCTAATATGCCTCAGCTAAGCATGCTTACTGAATAATATCTTAAGGACGAAAAAATTCGATTTTAAAAACTATGTACTATTTGCTACGGCAGAATGGCCTTGGTAAAGGCCGTGAAAACCGATAATAAACCAGGATGTAGTCATCGTAGTCTTTCAGTCATTATTAGTCTTGGGCATCCGTTATTAGAGATTTTCCTTTCAATCGTATTGAACATGAGTTTTTAGGGTGCCTCTTTTAGTGTTCACATCTTTAGTGTCCCTTTATAGCGATAGTCGGATGTATTCTATTATTTCCCTACTACTAAGGCTATTGTCATGAGGCTTATTGAGATGTCACACCAAAATGGACCTTATAAATGTGCTCATTGATATTCAGACGCGGCGTTGCCGTAGGCGCCCTCCAGTGGGCTATGATGTACCATTGCGCAGTACTATTATTTACAGTAAAATATTAAATATCTTTTCATATAAACTCATCTGTTCTGGTTGTTAATCACCCTTTTTCTTATTATAGATCTGTGTGTTATTATAGATCATTTCAACTTTAATCCTCCACACTCCTAAAAAAGTCCGCATTTTTTTCAGTTCTTATATACATATTTTCTACCTGAATAGATCCCTCCTATTTATATCCGTAAAAACAGCAAGTAAGTTAAGTCAAGCTGGATAAGATCTTGTATTTAGGCTGTGCGTTTATAAGGCTCAAATGGCTAAATCTTCTAGTTACTTTTTTAGGATTATTGACTACGTTCCCTTTTTCGAAGGCAGAACTATTGTATTCGTGCTGTATTCAAGCCTTTTATACGTACCCACGTACTCGGACTGTGTGCTCGAGGTTGGATCAAGCTAAATATTACGTTCGGCGTATCGAAGTTGCGACATAATCAGACATCCTTTTCACGCTATGCATCTATAAAATTAGCATCCTTGAAAAATCGTTTTGATCTTACTTGCTTTTGGAAAAACAACGTTTGAATTGCAGGCTGCGTTGGGTTGAGTTCCTTCAGCCAAATTAAGCATTTATCCATTGAACCTTTGCCGCGTTTTATATAACGCTTGTTCTTGGCGTACGTTTGATAGCAAGACGATACAACAGGGATGCTGCCTCTAGGGCGGGGACATTTGCTTTGATTTCTTGAGATGTGCGTATAACTAACGTATGCGAAGAGGCTGTTAGCAAGGGCTAACATGTATAATCGACATGGATTAAATGGAGTAACTAGCCCTGACGTGTATCAGTGTCATGAAGGATCATCGCATTTGGGTAGCTATAGAATAGTGTCCTTCCGCTTTCCGTTTTATGACATGACATATATGAATCGACGCGATTTAACAATCAGGGTTTCACTACAATACATTTTTATTGACTTTAGCCGTCCTTTAGCTAATTAGTTAATTATTGCTTACAGTTAAAATATGGCTGTAAGATACAGATACCGGCTTAATCCCAGAATTATGTCTTGCAACCTAAAAATTGACGAATTTTTCACCTCTTCGTAGATTATCGATACGAAATACCTTCTACAAAAAAGCGCTTTCTCGACATAGTTATTTGGCATACACAAAATGTTGGTATGCCGGATCGCAGTTTCAGCCCCCTAAAAAAATGACGCGGACCCACTTCTGCAATACAGCGGTCTGCATGTACACTGTCTCAGTCGACAATTCTATTTGATGTTATAATCATATTTAGTCTGCACCTATGTTTGGACTGAAATAAGCTAGTAAACATTTTAACTGAACAAAACAGTTGCAGTTCGCCACTCGGTGCTTTGGATGTAGACCTTAAGTGAACTGATGTTCAGGCATAGAACAACTCAAATCCACGCCATTAACACCAGATTTTTTCAGCCATTTTACCAAATTAGTGCTGTTGGAACAACAGTAAATAGCCCATATAACCGCATCCCAATCAACAACAGTGACCAAACAATATCCAAACTACCCAACAAATATCGCATACAGTTTACATGCGCAGTGTTGGCACTGCCAGCATCTGTTTCCAGCAGTCAACCTAGTATTGTTCTTCTATAATGAAAGCGCGACATTATGGGCATTATGTACGTTGTCGTAGCGGCTCAATGCTGTCGTGCAGGGCTGGCGTCTCCTCCTCATAAAAGATAGCACAACTGACAAGCTCCAGCCAGTCACACCTTTTCTGGGGCCCTTCTTCTTTCGGTTTCTGCTACGAAACAGAGGCAAAACCAAGAGGGTAACCTCAGATACGAACGAGTCAGGCGCTGCCACGTCAGGCGTTTCTTCGCATCCAATCCTAGATCAAAAAGGCGCTACAGCAGAAAAGAGATGGTCAGAACTTTGAAGAGAAAGAGGAAGGGGAACAGAAATGTGGAAAGAGGCTAGCAAATAAAGGAAAAGGAGGAAGCGAGCGACAGACACCAGACACAGCAGCAAATCTCACACATCAACATTGTTATGGCTGCGGAAAACGAGGGGACCACTGGTCAAATACTCATTTCTTCCTACCCTATACTACGGTCAGACTTACCGTTATGAAGGGCTTCACATTTTCAGGGGCCGTCGAGTTTACTTTGTTCGCGTTTATGTATATGCTGGATAAGGTCTGTGTGAACGGCATGCCATGCTGCTTGCCTACATTGGATGTTCGGGTGGACAGTGGGCTAATGTGAGGAGATACAACGAGTTGCCTAAAGTCCCTCTACTCAGTCGGGCATAGTATCTAACCTATATAAGTACCGTCTTGAACTAACGTGAAATATGACTAATTTTGCTGAATTGAAGAAAAACAATAAAGTAGACGAACGAATGCAACGCCGCCAATTGTAGAAGGGCAGATTTGAAAGGAGGACTCCTATTTCCTTCGTGAAAGGTTCGCTGTTTCTTTTGGGTGTTGACAAAGGCGGGCTAAAGTGCTGAGGGGACTGCACCCTGTGCGTACGACACGTTCCATTTCTAGGGCAACCACGCAAGACCGCGTCACTATTGTGATCTGAGTACTGCCGTTTTTCGTCATGACGAACTATAAAGTGACCGTGAAGGCCCTGTCACGTTAAGGCCCCATCTCCACGTTTACAATTCTGCCGTGAAGACGTTCTTCTATATCTATATCCCCGTCAGATTCCCACTAGAAATAAGGGGAAAACTTCTTTTTGATAAGTTTCCGCCCAGTCACCCCCTAAAGCAGCTATCCTTGCAGGATCTAGAGTCCTTCTTAATCGTAGAGTTATACCGCATTTGCACAAGTGTACATATGTAGAAGCGGCACCGTCCGTTTTGGGTATTCTCCCAACGGGGCTATCGAGCAAGCTATAACAACCGAATTTCTTTCCGCCGTTCCGCTTGCCCTGTTCGGGGAGATACTACGAACGACTGCTTATCGGCTGTAAATTCTTCTGCCAAAAACATTGTATAAAGAGGCCGTCAAGTGTGTCGCTGTTGCGTTCTGATGAGTTTCTGCTAGAAACTCTTGTTGGACGAAGTCTCCGTTACCTCCGCCTCAGGCACCTTGTTTCGACCCATAGATCCATGCAGTGGTCCCCCTTCTTCGAATCGACCGGATTTTTGCTCTACTCAAGTCTACGATGATGAGAATTACGACGCAACTCCAAACTATCTTATTCGTGACGAAAATGAAATGACATTAGCCGGATGCTTTTATTTATTTAGGTTTTATCTAAGGTAAAAAAATTCCAAAAAAAATAGAACAAACGAATACATTTTGAACTAAACGTTTCTTTTAGCGGACGCGTAACCATAGGGGTAAGTTGTTATAAGATTTGAAAGTATGAAAGTGGTCTACTTGAATTTAAGGTTGACTTGAATATTACATTAAATGTAGTCAATCGTAGAACGCCACAAAAATTGATAGGCCCGCACAGTACATGACGTTCGACAAAACTGTCCAACTAAGTTAGAAATTGGAAGGCCCAGCAATCTTCTAACGCGTTGTTGTTTGAAAGCGACATCTTTGACTCTTCTGTTGCAGTTTTTTCATAACGCATTTAAAATAGCTCCTTACTTTTTGTGCCGAATCTTGACGATTCGCTAGCAGGCGAAGATTCTAACTTCAATTCAATATTCAAGCCTCACTCAATGCAATTTTACGTCCCTCCTAATTTACGATAACATTGAAAAATATAAAAATAGACATACGCTTAAAAACGCGTGCCTCGAACTTAGAATTTATTTAGCACGAATAACACTAGTAGCTATTATTCGTAGTATTGACGAACTCATATTTCGTTTGACCACCCCGACGCGTAATTTTTACAGTATCATTAAGCTTTATTATCACTACAGCTGTTTGTTTAAGCTTTTAGAGCGTACTAGTAGTAGTACTGGTTGTACCAAACAGTTTTACGGGGAAGCTTTACGAAAATATACGTCCAGTTTTAGATAAATTGCCAACGTAGTCAGCTGGTCAACGCCGTGTGTACATAACAACGCCAGACACAAATGCAAACAATAATCGTTGAAGATATGCACATAGTTTTGATTGGAAGTTGCCATTCTTTGCAATGGGATTGATAAATCATCATTATGACAATACGACATACGTTGCGCAAGCAGCGAAACACTCATATACTATCTGTGCATTCTACACTTGAGCATCAATTTTGATAGCCCCATAACAGTTGTTGAGGCACACACGCTATACACAAATAGTTTTGGTCTTTTCTACTAGATAGCTTTGATAAAACATAGTTTTTTTATGGTCCTTTGCCGTTGTAGGGCAGTCGATTTGATTTCCGACGTATGCGTCAATGCACAGGCGTTACAGCAGAGAACAAATAATCCATTCTGTATCGCATTGTCAGCTATCGTCAGACATTGCCTACTTAGACAACAATAATATGTAGATATATAATAATAGATAACGGAATATGTATTCATTGACGGCAGCTTTTCGCGAGAGACACTTCAATGAATACTACTTTAGACAAACAAAATATAAACAGCGTCAGTTATCCGTAGGTGGACTTACATGCAAAATATCGTATCATATAAAAGTAGCCTTTGTATATATACGAATGTGTTTCCACACATGATCGTGAGTTGTGTTACCGTTCTCAATTTAACTTCCCTGGAAAAGTGAGAAAATAGAATTTTATGTAATGAGACATATTTTTAAAATTGAGTATTAACACCTCAGTCTTTGTGGGTCAATTATGCAACGGTAAAAAAACAACCAAACAAAGGGAAATAAATCTCTCAGAGATATTTGCTCAAATCAAGCTCAGAACTATTTGCGTTGTACCAAAGGGTAAACACTTCTTTGCAAAGTCTCTTGAGATGGAGTCCCTTCCTAAAGCATTAAAAAAATACTGGATTGAAAAATAGGAAATAAGGCGTTTCTGATTTAGATTTCATCTGAATCTCTATTAACAGAAGACTTGTAGTCATAAATCAGTTCCGATAACGACTAAGTAATCTGAAAAAATTTAACTTCGTTTTGGAATATTGGAGAATCCTACTATATTGTATATAAGTTTGGGGGGTCCTCGTGATAGCCTAGTGGGTGAACTACTTTTTCGCTAATCTTAGAGACACGTTGTTGTCTAGGTTCGAACCCAAATATTGATAGATCGCGTCTAGAGCTGGAAGCCAGCTGCCTGACTGAATTCCTAGCGGCGATACCGGGCGCAAAAATCGAAACATAAAGAAAAGTTTGTCACGGGGTTGTGTAGAATTACCTTCTAATGCTTATGCAAATATCCTTTGTGCTATTTCATGTCGAAAGCGGCATCCAGGTGTGCACTCCGCATGTAGATATGAAGAGCTTCCGCGCAAAAACACCTAGTTTTTGTTTAATCGATTTTAAACTGTAGATACTTTCAATATCAATAGCCGTGTTCGATAACCTGTCCGAATTATTGTATCTGGAGAGAATTCGCAGCTTAGGAGTTTCAGAAAGATAAAAACAAGGCAAACATTAACCGGTAATAACGACCAAGTTATAGCTTAATATACATCAATAGTCGGTATTTTTTCTCAATCAATATCAGCATTTTTCTGTATTACGCTCGTGTGGTACGCCGTTCTAGCTTCGGGCTAACTTTTCTCAACGAATGCTTTAGGTACTAAACTCCCAGGTTCGTCGCGTCTTTCTTGTTGCTGAACTTCGCGTAAGTTTATTCCATCGTTGTCATAGTAAGCGAAAAAGTGTACATTTATGTATCGCACGTATTTCTAAAGGCACACGTTTCGTCAGCGATTCCTATCTATATTACTACACTTTAATCGTTATTTCTAAACCTCCCGAGGCTCTTTTTTTTTTTCATATTGTCTACGCGACGGTGTGTAGGCACTTTCAACATTTGTTATTTGAAAGCTATATAGTGCAGGTTCAAGTCTATGACTGTTTTCCACCAAAAGTGGATGTGTATCGATTCGGATTGCTTATTACTTTTCCAATTCAGCCGTCTTCTATATTAAATCGATTTAGCTGGAAGAGTTTCCATCATCATCGGTATGATCCTGAACTATCATTAGTGTGACATTGTGCTTATTCCGCTAAAGAATCCTTTACCGTGTGCCTATTGCTGCTCGAAAGTACTTTCTTGTAATTCACTATCCGGAAATTCAGGTGCAATTGGATGCCCCATAGTTTTGGTGTTTTCGTACGTTAGGCCATGTACCGCTATGACCTTCTGGTAGCGTTGGATATCTGGAACCTGCTTCACGCCCACAGCATATGGGTATGGGGTGACCCAGGTGCTTTGCACGACTTTTCGACCCATGGTTTCTTCTGTTGTAAGATGAAGTTACGGTGCGTAATGTCTAGATATTCGTATAGTATTTAATATACTGAAGTCGTTCGAGCATTTGCAGAGCCGTACCGAGCATAGATCCCTAAAGGGCCTTTGGCTATTTCTACTGTGTAAACAAATTCTCAGAATCACCTTTTTGGTATAGCATCTAGCATTTTCCCCCACTACAAAGTTTAGCCAGGGTGGGTATTACCGGACTCATCTATAGTTTCTCCAACAGACCTATAACACGGTACAGTGACAACATTGCCAATCTTAAAGTTCTTAATGTTCCCATACTCAAGATTAATATGACGACGCATCCAAAGAGATGTACATTGGGCATCCAAACTAGTAATTTCATTTTAGAAAGGATTTAGTGTCAGTTGAAGTAGTACTTCATTTGCGTTGTCATCTGTTAATAATAATAATCCTAGCTCAAACCCGTTTCTCTAGAAGCATTCAGTACTGGAAGCTAAATGATTTCTATGGTCTTGTCGCTTGTTTTTGTAATCCATTTATATTCCGCGCTATTATTCCGTCGATCTCGAACAACCCTGTTTTGGTTTTTGATTGCCTCGAGTTCTCCTAACTCGTATCCTGTTTGCCATGATTTCTGATTTGTTTTCGTGCCGTCAGCGGTCAGATGACATTCGTTATCTTTTTTTTTTTTAACACAGACGCTCCGGAAGTTGGCTAGAAAAACAGGTAGTCTAAATACTAAAGTTTTACGTGAACCTAAACTTAACTGTGTGAAAATTACTGTGAAGTTTTCCAAACTCAGCCGAAAATACAGTTTAGATTAGTAACGAAAGTTTCTGGACAAAGACGACTAACTAAATTATATATTATAAAATAAAATGGATTTTTTCAGATTTAGGCCAAGTGCATTCCTCAGGTCTTTTACACAATTCTCTTATATTTATATAGGAAGCCCATCACAAATGGTGATTCGCGGTTTTCCTTAATGCGTATATTGTATATTATTCGTTAGTTTAAAGTCGTCTGATCACAAATACCTCAAAAGCTCTCTGTTCAAAACAAAATACGCTCCTGCCAAGCTCTTTGATTTTCCCGAGGCTCACTTCACGTACGTCTACAATCGCCGTTTCAGCCAGTGATATCTTTTCGCGCAAGAGCCTCGTACAAAAGTGGACAAACGTTTATAGTCAAAGCAGCCAGAAGATGATGTCACATGCTTACCCGCAGCACCCCCGCAACCATTATCAAATGAAACGCATTAGTAATCAAATTTTTGATCCAATAGGTCAGTACCTCTCTATTCATTTGAACTGTCAACGTTAGCACTCTTATCGCCTCGTTTAACGTAGTATATAATTACGATTATTCTACTACAAATGATTGATCACATGAAACAATTTTATGAATAGATTCTCTGTTGCATGGCACCCCCGAGTCTGTCACCTTCTTAATTACTGATCTGTTTTTAGTTCACATGTGACAGAGCTTCTGTTTCAGCTGTAGGGAAAAACAGCGAAAAAAAAAAAACGCGTCGTCGATGGCATTCATGAGCTATTCGACGCGAGAATTGCTTGTTAACCTAGTTTGCATAACTTAACTGTGCTAATGAATAACAGAATAGATACCTTGGCACGTTTAGGATCTCCCAATCTTCGATAAAAGAACCGCGCTAGCGACATATAATTCAAATTTATTATTCATCGATCGAGAATTCTAAGTTATATTATTCATTATATATATATTATGAAAATGAGATTATCTACCTAAATCTATTTGTAGATTTTGTATCCATACGATGTTAAAATTAACAATGGTTGGGCGGTTACCAACGGTGTTAATGGAGCACGAATAAACTTGTCGGCAGACGGTTCCGGATAGTTTTCTGCGCAGTCAACCGCATGACGACCTAACGGTAATCTACGATCGTCACAAATGTTTGGATAAAAGTATTTTGAGTAACAGTTCAATAAACTGCTATTCGAATGATGGCTTCTTAAAGAAACCCGTAGTGGTGGACTGGTAGATGGATGTTAAACAGTGTTTTCGATGGCTGTTACTACTACTTATAGATTGTTATTTTTGTTACGATCATGTAAAAGCTCTTCCTTGGCTTTCTTGGCTGACGGCTAGCAGCGTTCGCTTCCAGAGAAACTGCAACGTGACATCTATCCCTAGTTACTATCAGATAGATGACCATACTGTGTTCTGATATTTATTTCAAGGGAGTCCCTCACATTGTATCTGCCCGACGATCCACTGTGCGCGATGATTTAGTTATTTTGCTATTTTTTCTTTTTTTCTCCTGATACTGTGCATCTTGGATACGTATATTTTGAAGTGGGACTAAGAGGGCTAGACCGAACCACTCTTCTCCTGGCTTCACGCACGTGTCTTCACGATGTTTGTGTGTGTGTGATACTTTCAAATGTATGATTCTGTTACGAGATAGGGTAGGCTCTTTGGTAGGTGTACCGGGAGTTCCCTTGGCCTCCAGGTATCCTGATGATGACTAGAACAAGCCATCAAAAGAATCGGAACACCACCCGTAGGGTAGATATTCTGCACTTTATTCATTCGTTACGTGCATAGTATCTATAGGTCGAGCATTTTTAAGTCGATGCGTGTAGTTCTTTGCTTTAGCAGCAGTAACTTACTATACCGGGTATCGCAGTATATAACTGCGTGTATCAACAGTACCAACAGCCAAAATCAGTTAGACGGCCAACCCACTCGCTTGTACGTATGCTACTTAGTAGCTTGATATTTCATTACCTCTGATAGGTCTGTCACTTCACAGGTTCCAAATAAACGCAGTGGCCACTACCGAAAACCTCTCCATGTAAGTGCCCTACACTTTACCTAGGACACTGAATGAATATACAAATGTGATCACAAAATCAATACCCCTGCGTTACTTCACTGAATATGAACTGGCTTATCCTTTCCTAGCGAAGGGACAAGCGTTTAGATCACCTACGATTGCCTGATACTGCTCTTATCACTCAGGAGTGATCACACTGTGTGCGTGTACATTTTTGAGAAAAACAAGACTGTCCTTACCGAAGGCGCAATGCATGGAAAGGTAACGGTAAGGCCACTCGCAGGGGACACATTCGTTCGCTTACTGATGGAATAGATGGCGCTAGCAGTACTACTAATGTCGCAATGGTTCTTGTCGTTGTTAACGTTTTTACAACTGATATATGTATATATACATATATCCTTTATTAGGTCACTTTCTTTTTTATAAATATGGGTCTTAACATCTATTTTTAAGTGTTGCATATTCATTAAAAAATCGACGTTGAGAAACAGGCATTTGTTAGCAAAATTAGTTTGGTAGACACCATCGATGCAAACCAATAACAATTATAATGGGGACTGATCCATAATTTTTATGGAAAAATTGAACCTTAGAAAAAACGAAGTCAATTTAGGCATTTACTATGTGCCATATATATATATATATATATATATATATATATATATATATATATATATATATATATATATATCAGCCAGTATATAATATAATGCGCCTAATCGTAGAATGTAGGATCGGTACAAATCGGGTAATAACGTTGGAACTGTAAAGCTGTTCCTAGAAACGTTTGCTGTGTACAACTCTCTACTTGAGGCCTACTGAGACTAGCAAATATTTTCGGTAAATTAGAATACAGTGAGTATTATTGAATTAATTGGAACAACTTTTATTGACATTTATTTTGTCTCCGGTTCCGCCGAACTTAATTGATCTATCGAGTTCTCCACACCCTTTTGATCCTATAGATATTATCGGATGTAATTGTCAACGATAGGTTGTTTGTCATTCGAAGCGTTCGACCATCGACGTGCTATTTCGCATTGGATTGACGCAAGCGTCCCGTTTTCGCATCTTAAAACTAATCGCCCCTGTCGGTTTTTTTGCTTTACTGTTGCGCTTATTGAAATCTGTACGCTCTTTTCAATATTCTAGCAAACTGTAGTAAGTAGAATGTCAACGTGTTGACTCGGTACTTTTTCGTCATATATTATGAGTATACTGTATTTGGACATATTTAAATTCGTATTATCAGGAGGAAAAAAAGCAGTAGAATTGAGCTACAACTGTACGTAATACACACTGATGCGTACGCAGAAGAAGGCCACCGATTGTCGTAGTTCAACAAACTATTGTAGCTGGGGCATTGAACAATGCTCGTTCGTGAATTAAATGCTTTATTATCCTATATCAAAGGAGATTGCTTAGCCTTTTACGATTATGTACCTAATACCTCAGTCCTTGGTAGTATAATTATGAAGGTTTTGCAATCATCACGGCTGGTGATAGTTTGAAGAATGAATGTCATCTTCAAGATTAATAGTTGACTAATGTATGGGTCGAATTTCGAGAACGTTTATTGCCACTGTCGAAATAAAGCGAATAAAATAATATCAGCGAAACAGCTAGAACATTTGTTGAGGAGGATGAGAGTTATGGTCGTCTAAATGTCGACGAAGTTCCAGTTAATTTTTTATTATGAGTCGGAACACCCAGCTACTTGCGCAGACACACTCTATTATAGGATGTGGAGTCGGAAAAACCGTGGGAGTATATTTAATAGCCAAGCTTCAGATTTCTAAAACAAGCTGCTTCTCGAGGCTGATTTCCGAACAGGAGCTCTTAAACATAACAGCTGAGGTTACTAACAAACATTCAAATTATTAATAATTAACGTATACCTAAACTGATTAGAGGTGATCTTCAAGCTACTCTAGTTTCTGGAATGATTTGTAATGGAATTTACGAGGTCCCTTCAAAGCAAATCAACATAATATATGAGTTATTATATATATATATAATTATATATATATAATAACTATATATATATATATATAATAATTATATATATATATAATATATAAGTGCCAAAGTGTCAACGGTAACAGCAGCGGCCAATCAGTCAACTTCTATTGCGCCCATATTCGATACCGTTATATGATGATGCTAACAACAGGTGGGTGAAGGATGAAGCTCTGATGGCAGGTGGAAAACAGACTTCATTACGCAGATTGTTGTTACTCAACAAAAGGCAATTGCAGTGAGGCTAGTTGTGTTAGGAAAAGTTAAGTGATATAATTATTTTCTCGTTTAGATAACTCTGGAAATTCTTTAGGAAACAAAGACTGACGAATTGTTGAGCGATACATCTAGAGTGTACGTTTTATATATATTAGAACAAAAAATGCTTGAAGCATCTGCATGCGAAAGAAAAATTCACGGCAATCTACTTCAGGTAATATTCCCCTTGTTTAATTGTACAGTTGTTTGACATTGAAGTACAGCCTGCACGTCCTTTTACGGCCCACTGTATTCATACATTTATAAGTGTTTGTCCGCGTCGGGTGAGAGATGCTGTCGTCATAACAGTGATAGGTGTTAGCTTCGCTTGGACGAGGAACGCTTTTTCCTAAAACGGTTATGCCTAAAGTTAAGAGATTCTATATCAAAAATGAACTGTCGTAAAAAAATGCGATAGGCTGAAAGGCGCTTTTGTTAAGGCAATTTGTGGTTGTTTTCAATATGTACTGCCGTAACAGTACGGTTTTAAATCGGCTAGGTAGGTGTGGCCTGAAGTATTATTAATCGTTCATTCTAGAATGTTCTCCCTGTATTCTTTAATCAGCACTTGGCAGGTACAAGTGACATAGGCATTGGACAACGAAAAGAAATCCAGTCTGTTATTTCCTAAATTTTTGAGTCGGATATTTGGCCTCCCATGCAACCTGTTTCTGCTGCTTTTGACTTATTCATTACATTTTTTATAAAGTAATAACGAGTCAAACATCCCTATCAGTCCATGGACCTATTTACTGAAAATTTTCAGTTTACTTGCAACTAGAAGATTCAGGCTAGCAGAAGCCTAATTTCCATTAATGCGATAAATATTTTTGGTCGACTAAATTATAAAGGTTATTTAGCAAGCCGATGATGATGTGGGCGATATGATGTTGGCTCTTTTATACCTTAAAAATGCGTCGGCACGGACAAGACCGAATGAATTCCATGCGTTTCCATTCGCTACAAACAGAGTTAGACATGAAAATGGCTGGCCGGTGAGAATCCAAATGCACAGTTCCCAGTATGAGATATGCATATAATGGATCTTTTTTACCGAAATTCGCAGGTGATCGATTACAATGCCCTGGTCTTAGTCCCTTACACAATTTAGAAATGATAGGCAGAAATTTTTGGTACGCGTGATTTATGATGAAAGTTACTGAGTCCTTGTTAAGATGGTTGCGTTGCATCAGACATCTATCAAGACTACAACGATGGGGCTCAAATTGCTGACGCTCAACATCTTGCCTTCCCCTTTTTGAAACGACAGGGCGTTATAGGGGTAGATGGCGGGGTATGAAGGAAGTGGCACCTCTGTTGCTTTACCGATCCCTATGGCAACGAACGCCACCGTTGATATGAATGGTGGGGGAGAGAACTTCGCGCAGTCGTTGTGTGCACTCAACGACGTTGCCTTCACACCCGTGGCAGCAACGAAGCTCACGACGTACGGCGCGCATGATATCGTCCATAGGATAGTATATGCCAGAGCTCACTCCCGTGAGCTGTACTGACCCTTGCGGAATGCGGGGTGCTCACTTACTCATAGGCGTTTTGCCGCACGGACGAGAGCGAAAGTTTTAGCGTGGCTAATGACTCTCACTCGTAGCGTTAGCTCGTGAGGGCAGCGGTGTTGGCGGCAGCAACAGCAGCAGAAATTCTAGATAACAGCCATCAGATCGTGCATAGCAGAAAGCAATGGGAGGTGTGGTATATAGCGTGCGGAGCTACGATGAACTCCATGATTGGTCTCGTGCGCGTTGTCAGGAGAAGACAACTAGGAATTCTAGTAACGTAGGGATCTTTTATGTTAGGTTGCCGGCGACCGACATTTGCCAGTAGCCTTCCGTAATCAGACCTACAGGGTACTACAGGGACCATTAACCGTTTGCCGTCTGCAGTTTGCCCCTTTCCAGCATAACTGAACTATTCGCTCCTGAGGTTTACCCAAAGAAGACTTGGTGAGGAGGAGGACCCCCAGACTCGTGACAGCGACTCACCCGTGTATCCGCTCGCCGTCGTTGTCGCTCTCGTATCTACAAACCGCTTTTTTTCTCGACCTGTTGCTATTACAGTAGAACTCGAGCTCCTTCAGCAAAGTATCAGGCAGAGCGCAGGCCTAAGGCGGAGCGGACGTTCGCAGGGCGACGAGACTCTCGAAACAGGTGGCGCTCGAAGAGACCCTTACTTCATATACTCGCATCAGCCATTAACAGACCGGCCGCTACGAGACAACGACAAAATATGAGGCTTCGAACGTTAGAATACGACCTTTTCGTAATAATAGTTAGCGTAGCGATTGGTTTCATGGCTGTACCTGTAAGAATTGTGTGAAAGAAGCTTCTTGTCAGAAATCATGCAAAAATATTGGTAGCCAACGGCAGCAGCAGTAACAAAACGAACGAGATTTGAGGATCTCACTCCAAAACTCGCAAAAAAACACATTTTAATGAGTGCATTCATGAGTAAACCGCGAAGCTGGTACGCAAAGGCTGCACAGAAAATGAAGTGCCGACGTTCGGGTCGTCCAACTGTAGAACGGAAACTCGCATAAGTCTACAATAAGTCAAATTTCATGGAAGGAAGAAGGTTAGTGGTAGATAGATGAGACTAAATTACCTTTAGAAATAGAGATTCCATAGGGGAAAAATATAGCCATAGATAAAAAAAAAAATACTCAGGACCATGCTAAATTCAATATAGCTTGTGGAACCGCAGTTTTGCCGCGAACTTCTTGATGTTGATTGCGTGTCGACGTTCACCGGTCTACAAACTAATTTTCTCGTTAGCCGTTGTCTACAGTTCAGTATTGTTGATTTAACAAAGTTAATTTACGACAGTTGTGTCACGTAGCAATCAAACGGATAGGCTTGAAACTTGAATAACTGGAAAGCAGCGAAGCTCACCCTTCAATTTCACTTCTTGTTTGGTGTCCTTTTTTATTAATTATTATTATCTATTACGCTCTGCGCGCGCAGTTCCATTTCGTCACAATCGTAACTTACCTCCATATAAGAGATATTCAAGTGTCGAGCTAGAAAAACTAAG